ACTATCACACTTCCCATGACATGAGCATTACATACACACAATAGACAATAGCACAAGCCCAAAGAGGATTAAACACTAGACGATGGTACGCTAGTTTTTTTTTGTAATGAAACAGCTTCTGCCGAACGCACTTCAGATTCGGTAAGTTACCTTCACTCATTTGCAAACATGTAGAATGAGGTTGAAGTAACCAACCAAATCATGAGAAGCCTCATTAAGATCGCCATGTTAGGTGTATACTAAAGCGACTAGGGTTGCAGCCGGCCTCCTATTCTCTTGGTTTAGTATATTTTTGCACTATTTCGTAAAGTATAGAATCTTGCTCTGAAGATGTCTGTCAATAAAGAACAGACGAAAGAAAGGCACAGTTTAATCGGGTTCGCAGGACGGTGGGCTGAGGACTTCTTCGCACAATTCAACAGTCTTCCTTACACGACAGTCCTCCTTCGGTTTCCGATGAGAACACATCACAAATTACTTCCAAACATTTTTCCCTTCAAACTGGAGAGCCATGTCACAATAGTACAAGTTTATCTTTCGCATAACTATATCAAAACAAATATCTAATTAATAAGTTCTTCTTTTTAACTATCACTTTTATCGACCCCATCAGTTCATAACTTATCGTTTCACTTGCTGTCCTTTATTGGTATTCCGTTTAGTTTACATTAAAATACCTTGCTGCCTATCTTAGTTCAGATAGCAAAGTATATATCCAAATCATATGCAAACCTGCATCTGGCTTTGTTTAGTATATATCTTAGTTAATGCCATATTTGTAAATATCACGCTTTTCATTCTCTTGACTAAGGTTAATTCAGACTGCGGTTGCGATCCACGGCTTTGTTGTTTCAGGTATCTTTATTCGATCACCCGATTCCCGAGGACTTGACTGATCAAGGAATGACACTGATGTTCGGAAATTACATCAACCTCTGGGCAGACAAAAGTTTCAACTACTTAGCCTTCTCAGACGGTCGGGTCGGTTTGAACGTCGAGCACTCGTGGAGTGACGCTCCGGTCATTGCGCATCTCTCGGAGATCATAGTCAATGAGAAGTAAGAAAAGAGAGTAAGAGTAAAAGAATCAAAGGCTGACTATAGAAATGAAAAAAATTTATTACCACCACTTATCTTCTTATAAAATTCTGGCATTCTGGTCATTGTAAATATTAAATTTATTAAATTTCACCTGTGGTGTTACTCGGAATACCTTTTCCTTACCAATTATAATATTTTTCAATATATTCAATCGGTGATTTCTCCACCCTAGTAGCGAGTTTCTGTTGGGAAATAAAGAAAATGCGTCTATCCAC